TTTCCGTATTGTTGAAATACCAGATCCGGCACAAAGCACCGAAATAAGATTATGGGCACACTAATAAAAATAAAGTCTCGAACCGAAATAAATTAGGCTCCATAAAGAAACTGTTCTGGTGGATCTCTTTCTGCTATACAAAGTTTTATTTTATTCAATACATTTAAGCAATACTTTGTGAATTTTTTTATACTATCAAAATAATTCAAATAATTACCTCACTGGACAATTTAGGGCATTCTGAAATATTTCATAACCACCTCTAATATTTTTTTGGACTTCAGAGGGCTTGAAGCTAGAGGATGTTTAGTCATCGTGAAATGTTTTGGCAATTTTAGTTGTAGCATTCGACAACTTCAATATAGCCAAAATTATTTCAGAAAACAACGAAATATTTTAGAAGTATATATAGTGGATTTTAGTGAGGAACGTTTTGGAAATGTCCTGAAATATTTATCTATCTATCTATCTATCTATCTATCTATAGCCCAAAATCTATGCATGTGTTGAATATAGCCCTCTCCCATTTGTCTCTGTCTTCTATTTGTCTTTTCCACATTGGACTTGCGGTTTGCTCAATGTCATCTTTCTATCTCATTTGCGGTCGACCTCTTGACCTTTTTGCAGTATATGATCTCCAGCGGCCAATTTCTTTATTCCATCTTCCATCCTGATATCTTTCATTATGCCCAGCCCATTTCTATTTTAATTTCAATGCATGTTCGACAGTGTCTGTTGTTTCGGTTTTGCATGTTATCCACTCGTTCCTCTTTTCATCTCTCAACGATATTCCCAACATTTGTCTTTCCATAGCTCTTTGAGTTTTCTTTATTCTATCTAAGTTGCTTTTGGTACACGTCCACGTCTGGGCACCATATGTCAGAACAGGTAGGACGCATGCATTAAATACCTTCGTTCTTAATTTTAAAGGTATTTTTTGGTTTTTGATAGTATATGAGAGTTTTTCGAATGCAGCCCACCCCATTCTTATTCTTCTGGTTGTTTCTTTAGTCTGGTTACTTTTATCTGCTCTGATAGCTTGTCCTAAGTAAATATATTCTTGGACGTGTTCTATGTCTGTTCCACCTGTGGTAATTACTAATCTGTCTTCTGTATTAGTCATTATTTTAGTGAAATATTTATAAGAGTTTTAAATTGGATTTTATGCTGGCCATGAACTAGTTATAAACTTTAAAATGTTTTGGGAGTACGTAGATGAATTCAGGTGAAATGTTTTGAGACTGTCCTGTAATATCTTTGGGGTATCTGGAGAACTTCCTGATAGCCAGAAACTCAAATAAAAAATCTTAAAAAGAATTTTAAACATTGTAGGAGTATCTAGACGAATTCACGTATGCGTGAAAGGTTTTGGGACCGTTCACCAATGTTTCTGGAAGCTCGAGATGACTTAGCTAACGAAATTCAAAGATATCCAAAAAATTTTCAGAGATTTCTGAAATAGTTTAGGAAGTGTATAGAGGATTTAAAGATAACATTAAATATTTTCGAAATACTATCCAAATTTTTACATTTTTGGATGTCTGGAGGTTTTCTTGATATCCAGAAACGTCACACAAAATTTTAAGTGTTAAAGAGGTATTTAGAAGATTTTAAATGAGCGTAAATGGGACATCATAATATTTCTGCAAACTCCAAGGATAACTAACAATTTTTGCAGGGAGCACTGAAATATTTTACGCTACCTTTAAATCTAGAAGGATTTAAAGGCACCAATAACGAATATGGAACGTTTCTGCAATATTTTTGGGTATTCTGTTTTTGATATGCGGAAATGTTTCAGAGAATTTCATATGTTATAAAACTATTTAGACGATTTTCGTTTACTGTGAAATATGTTAGAATATGAATATGAAAAGTTTTTGAAATTATCCGATGTTTCCTGGAAGTACTGTAGAACTCCCAAGGTACCAAGAATTTGTACAGGGAGCTCTGAAATATTTTAGGAAATCTCTAGAAGATTTAAAGAGGACTTTGTAATCGCCAGAAATATTTCGTAGAGCTTTGAATTGTTAAAGTATCTAGAGGATTTCATTTTAGCTTAAAATGTTTTTGAACTATACAAATTGTTTCTACGATCTCTGAAAGACCCCAAGATAGCCATAAATATTTCGGGAGCTCTAAAATGTTTTAGAATGTTTTTAAAGTATTTCAAACAGCATTAAATATTTTGGAGACTCTGAATAACTTCTTGAAAATCAAAAATGGTAAAAGGTACTTTGAGTTCAGGTCAGCTTCAAAGGTTTTGACACTGTCCATTAACAATTTTGAAAATCATGGAGGGATTCAATATGTCCAAAAATACAAGAAGCTGTAATATATTTGAGGGAGCCTCTTTACGATTTAAAAGGAGCACTAAATGTTTTGGAACTCTCCTACAATATTTTTGGCGCCCCTGAGGGACCTCTATATAGCCCAAATTGTTGTATTGAGCTCTGAAATGTTTCAGGAAGTAGCTAGGAAATCTTAAGGCAATTTCAAATGTTTTGGGAATCCCCTACATTCATTTTCGGGGTTCTGACGTTCTTTAACCTTAAAATGTTTTCCAGGTATCCAGAAGAATAGACGTGAAAGGTTTTGGGAGGTTTCTGAAAGCACTAAATGGCTTTTAGATTCTAAGTAATCTTGCAAGGTCCTGTGATAAATCTTAAGAAGTCTTTAGAGGATTTAAATTTAAAGGAAGATAAACATGTTTTGGAAATCTGGTACAATAGTATTGGGGCTATGAATAATTTCTTGATATGTTTTCTAGAAATATATTGAAACATTTGAAATGAGAGTATCTATAGGACTTAAGTTATCGTGAAATTTTATGGGACTGTCTGTTGTATTTCTGAAAGCATTCAAATTTTTAAGGATAGCCAAAAATATTTCAGAGAGCTTCGATATATTTCATGAAATACTTAATTGTTTTTCTAATGACGCTGTTTCTGTTCTTCTGATTATATTTTGTTCTTGTAGTGGAAAATTTTCAATCCTGTTATTGTTTTCTACAGTACATTTTAATTTGTCCATATTTATATTATTTTTTCATAGTTACTGTTCAGTTTTTTGCTAGTATAAAGAAATGAACACGACGAATTTTTGTATTTCAATGAAAATAACCGACAACCAGATGAAATTAGCATACATTTTCTGAAATTTTAAATTAAGCTGTCAAGTTAAATCAGTAATCAACAACCTATTTGGGCATTTTATATTATAAACAAACAGTTTTGGGGTGTAATTCCTTAATGTTCGTTTAATAGCGCAGTGAAGGCTGAAAATTGCGTTTGTTGAACACAATTTTTATATAATAGAAATGTTTAGCCTTTTGTTCCTTATCAATTGTTATTCATCAATCATTGGATACGGAAAACAAGTAAAAAAAGCAATTACCTTATACTATAATATACTAATCATGCACATTTTTCGTCTCACGAATCCCGTAATATTTTCTTGCATGGGTTACAAGCACCATATTAACACCATACGCATTTTGAAAAACATTTAACTAACTCTTGTCACTTTTACAGTAAAAAGAAATATCCAGCAGTATTACTAACTAGTCAGATGATTACTCGCATAAATTAAGTTATTCTTCTTCTTGAATGTTTAAACCATTAATATTAGATATCTTTCGCTCAGACCTCTTCTACCTTCGATCTTACCTTTCGATATTCCCCTTACTCGTGACGTACCAGTATCGTGTTCTGTATAAATACAAGAACTGTCTTCCCGTCAAAACGGCGCTGAGGTCTCAATCTGCCTACTCCTTAGTGTCGAGTCACAGATTACTTACTTTTTTAGTACTTTCTTAACTAACTGTTGTTACCAAACAGTGGTTGGGTTTACATTGAAGAAGACGTACTTGAAAGTATTGAAATATACGGCAAAATGCCGATGTAATTGGATTACTAACCGAAAACCATAAGCCCCAACTCGAAAAAATCTTTTCTACATACTAACTGTAAAACTGCATTTTGCCAACTAAATTGAGATGCCGGAAGCAAAAATTGACTTGCTTCATTGTGACGAGCAATTATTAATAAGTAAAATGCCATCAGTATCAGTTACATACCATACACACTTGGAGTTTTCTGTTTGTTGTTGTGAATTTTTAAGTTTCTGTTCACATTCCCCTTCTTGAAAGTACTGTCCACACTTTGATATTTTGATGACCTTCGTTTTTACTGTTTGCGTTAATTTAACTGGTTTCGTGTTAATCAAATTTAATAAACTGTCAAAGTATCATTATTTATTCTCGAACTGCTGTTCTGAGGTTTTTTCAACTATTTCAATTACAGTGTCTCAATTAATGCTTATTATATTTTTCCGAATTGTATTTCTTTTTATTCTACATTAGATATTTAATAAAATTTTGACCAAATGATACTACTATTCACAGATGAATATCGAATAAGATCATTACTATAAATTCCACTTTTACTGTACTAACAATAAACAATAATAACTACAATTTTGACATATAATTGTAAATCCACCATTACCGAAAGGATACATGCTCCGTTTTAGATATTAATGTTTTACATTGATGAGGTCAAATAGAAACAAAACGTCGACCTGCCGCTGAAGGTTGTAGCATAAATAAATTAATCTGTTTTAATTGAAAATCGCAATTTTGGTGGATTTGTAACTTTAATTGTCTGTTGGGATAATTCGTCTGCCACACGATCGCCAAAAATTAATTAAATCATCGATAGCAGGCGCATTGTAAATATAAATAAACGTGATGCGGGGTTTTTAAATAGAAAAAAATATACAGAAATAAACTTTGTCCTAGAAAACGTTCACGACTGTGTTTATAGACAATTTGAATAAATAACAGAGTGAAAATTTAGGATTTTAGATGTAAGAGTAGGGTTAGGATGTAACTCCACTGTTAGTACCACCACCAGAAAAACCATGTTAACTCTATCGCCACCAATTTACCCGAACTGAGTTTTAACCGCCAAATAATAGTGGAATCATTTTCGTTTACAGGTTGCCTGCTAGACGGAGTACCTCGTCCGCCTGATGTTCCTCCTAGAAACCCCACAATGAGCCGTTTGAACGGGAGGCTGGCCTCTGCGCCCCCGGCAGACTCTGCGCAAGACTTCGAACCCTCTTGCCTTGTAAAGACACCCTCAGGAAATGTGTACATACCCAGTGGAACAATTAGTGAGTTTTAGATGGCTTAATTAGTTTGAAAATAGTGGCTCAGGTAGTGACAAGTGCAGTGATAGGAAAGGAGTTAGTGTTGAGCGGATATGGCGAGTAAGGTAGTACAAGTTTTTACTGTTTTTCAGAGCATCTTATATTGTCGAGAATACATATTGCTGATTGTTCGCCATCTACGGCTTTTCAATGGTGAGAACGCGTTTACTAACGCACTATATTGTATACCATGCACGTCTTTACAGGGTAATGTCCGGTACAGTTAGGTTGCTTATTTGAACTCAAGAAAATATTGTTTCCTTCTTAATATTTATAGCTACGAGGCTAAAAATTGCACAACTGTGATACACTGTTAACTTATTTTTACCTTAATATATAGTTAATGAAACATACGACTTAAATTAAATATATCACAGTGAAACAAGCATAAACTAAATTTTGATGTACGTGAAAATAAAAAAGAAACTTTTTTAGCTAAAAAAATATTTACTTAATATTCTAATATCACGAATCAGTCTCCTGTATACCATATTATTGTACTGTTTTTAAATAAAATGAGCGGTTCTTATTTTATATAAATACATTTATTTATAAGTTTACAGCACGAAAATATCTTATCAACTAACTTAACTCATAGAAAGTCTACTTATGTATAAAAGTTATTTTGTACTAGAATTTTCTGGAGTAGTTCACCTCTAATTCGTTTGTTTGACGGATCGATCTCCCCCGCGCTCGATTAATCTGGAAGCTTCTCGTCATCTCGCGATGCAACCATTATATGGGCTACGTCGAATGCATGTTCGTAACACTGCTCCCCTCTTAGACCTGAGCGTCCCGATCAGCAACTCTATATGTAGGCCCAGGATGGCAGAATCTACAGGACTCTCCAGCTCTGCATGAAGTCCTCAGAAAGAAATAACAGTCTACTGACTTTGAAAGATACGATCACATCGGGTTAATGCAACAGTAATTCGTACGCCGATTTCAGGAAGATCAATTCATGCCTGCTTGTGACAATCTTCCAATCCAGATTATCTAGTGTATGGCCTATCTTGGGTAAGGCCAAGTTCTTGATATCATAATTGCACACGATTTTTCTTCAAATTAGTTATAGCATGCCGTATATCCTTGTAGCTTGCCTTGTCTGTATACGACGTCCTCGTCACTATATACAACAAAGATCAAGAATCATCTTCTAATCTCAGTACTCTTCCAACTTTAGGCTGCTGGTTTTTTATTGACATAAATTCATTAAAGCTTGGTCCCCGGTCATCTTTGATATCATGTTGAAGGGTTCGTGCTTCTTCTGTTTCATTTGAACTAGCATAAGGTGCAAGACGATTTATGTGTACTACTTTTGGTTTGTTTTTGCAATTTAGGTAACAAGCCTAGACGACGTTGTGGATTATAAAGTCAAACAAGATCACCTACTTCATAGCTTTCATTCTTACATCGAGTATCATATTGATCTTTCATTCTGTTACTGGCTAACTGGATGTGTTGTCGGGCAAGTTCATGAATGTTGTTCATTCTTAACTTCAGGCGGTCGACATAATCTTCGCTTGCAACATATTCTTCGGAAGGTCTGCAGCCAAACTCTAGGTCGCAGGGCAAACGAACTTCACGACCTAACATCAGACAGGTTGGGGTGTGGCCTGTAGTTTCATTCACGGCCGATCGGTAGGCCATTAGGAATAAATGAATGTACTGTCCCAATCTGTTTAATGTTCTGATACAACTTTGGACAGGTGTTTACCCATCGTTCGGTTCGTCCTTTGGATCATTCCATATGATTGAGGATGCAGGGGTGTCGTTCTGATCTTATTGACACCAATCAATTTACAAACGTTTTGTGAAAGGGCTGACTCGAAGTTTCGCACTTGGTCGGAGTGGATCTCCAAGGGAACACCAAATCGGCTAAAAATAATAACGCATAAATATTATAACGCATAAATGAAACAACAAGAATTTATCAAATAGAATCATAAAAATAACTAAAATAATTTTGAACAGTGTTTAAATTATCCTTTGTTGTAAAATTTCAGTATTTTTACACTAATAAACAATTTGAATACCTTTTTTGTAGGACGTGTACGAACTCCCACTTCATCACTTTATAGCCTCCCATAAAATTATTAAATCCTCCGAGATATAGCAAACTGGTCACCGGCATCCTTTAGGGATCGTTAAGCTTATCACTTTAGATGTGTAAACTCATCACCAGCATTTTTGGTCCAAGGCGCTGATTTCGGATTTTTTTTCTTTTCCCATAGTTGGAAGTAGGTATTAATAGAATTTGGTGAAATTCCCAAATACTAGCCAACCCTTGTATTTAGTACATCCGGATTTGGATTATTCTTTCAGATTAGCAAACATTATCGGTTTGCAAGTATTTTATAATCTTTACCTTTCCGGGGTAGGAAAGGCTAGTGTTCAGTTTGCAAATCTCTCCAGGTCTACTTTAAAATCCTGGTTGAATTATACTGATGAGTTTATACTACCTATGAGTGCATTTATGCTATTTGTTTATGTGTACCATTTTTTATTAGCACATAGAGTTCCAATGTTTTTTATTGCAAAAATTGGTATTTTTACACGGATTTGAAAAAAAAGTTGCCGTACGAACTTTTGGAACTAAATTGGCATTATTTTTTGAACAAGTCGTTACGGCTTTATGTATAAACATTGTACATCAAGCTTTACTACCTTAAATTGCAAAAGGATTCCCTTTAAAATAAACCCTTGGCAAAGGTTTAAACGTAAATGTTTATTGAAACTCTTGGAGAATAGTGCGGAAATTATGATTTTAAAGCAATGAAATTACGACTTCAAATTTAAGTAGGTTATAAACGAGTAATCTCGAAAATGAGAAATGAAATTATATATTCAAAGTCTACAAAAGATTTGTTAGCATTAAAAATTATCCTAAAATTATAATAAAATGAAATAAACAAAATGATATAAAGGAAAACAGCAAAACAACGAAATGTTCAGGACAATTCAATTGACATTTTCATTTACTATTATTAGTCTATTATCAATCTTTAAAACGATCATAAACCGAGAAGTTAAAAAGCGAATAGTGGCGGGGAGCAGATCTTTCTTTGCAATACAACATCTAATGAGGTCAAAAATTCTCTCATGAGGTTCAAAAATCCAGATATACAAAATCATAATACGACCAGAAGCAGTCGCTTATGGAAGCCATACATGCACGCTAACAAAAGAAGAAGTAAACAAATTGGTGGTGTAGGAACGTAAAATCCTTCGGGTCATATATGGCGCTTACAGAGATATTGTGACAATACGATATTTCTGCAAGGGCAACCGATACAACAAGGAGTCTCTCTTCGGAAAGTAATATCTAGTGATCCATATAAAGGCCAATAGACTAGGATGGCAATCGTTATAAACAATGTGTTTTTTGAAAAAACCAGAGGGGAGAAGTAGGTTGACCTAGAAAAAGGTGAAAAAATGTTGTTCGAGCGGATCTGGAGAGAATGGAAGAGAATGGGAAATATTGGCACAGGACCGACAAACATGGAAGGCAATGGTAAACGCAGCAAAGACTCACGAAGAGTTGTAACGCCATTGATGATGATGATGATGATGATGATAATGATTATCGCTCTTTATCCTAGAGTAATTCCATGTCTAGTTATTCATATGAATATCTTAATACCTAAACACATTTTTGTGATTTTCAATTTGTTTGGTAGCGAAGTGTCTTTATTTCGGTTGTCATTTAAGTGTTCTATTTTTATTTCCATTATTTTTGAAATAGATATTCTCTATTCTATCCTATTCTAACAATTAACCCATATTTTAATGCACTTGCTAAGTATTTTTTGAAGTTATTTGTATAGTAAAAAATCATGAATGTGTTGCTTGTGTGAGTCCATTTCAAATAGGTAAAGAAAAAATAATAAGACTTACAATCAATTTATTTTAACTATCAGACGACCGGTTTCGCTTTCTACAATATGCAAAGCATCTTCAGGTCTCGATACAAAGTTAAATAAATGCTGAAATGATAAAAACCCATATTAGGGTGTTGTCTAATTAAGATAAACAAAGTAGATGTTCTTCTTCTTATGGCGCCGTCTCCTTTCGAAGGTTGGCGATCCAAATGGCAATTGTAGTTTTGGAAACTGCTGCGCGAAAGATTTCTGCGGATGAGCGGTCGAACCATCTCCTTAGGTCTTTCAGCCATGAGTTCTGACGTCTTCCTACTGATCTTTTGCCTTGTACTTTTCCTTCCAGTATAACTTGAAGTAATTTATATTTTTCGCCTCTCAACACATGACCCAAGTATTGCATTTTCCTCTCTTTGATTATTCTTAGTAATTCTTTTTGTTTACTCATTCGACGAAGTACCTCAACATTAGTAACTCTTTGTACCCATGGAATTCTCAATATTCGTCTGTATACATACATCTCAAAGGCATCTATTCTTTTTTCTATTTCGGAGTCCATTGTCCAACTTTCACAGCCATATAGTAAGACAGAAAAAACGTAGCATCTAATCATTCGGATTCTAAGCTGCAGACTAAGGTCTGATCTTGTAAAAAATGTTTTCATGCTCATGAATGTTCTTCTTGCTTGTTCGATTCTTGATAGTATTTCTTTTTTTGGGTTACACTGACTATTGATATTTGCTCCCAAATATTTTATAGAATTTACCTGTTCTATCATTTGACCCTTGGCATACACATGTATGTTTATTGGTGTCTTTGAAAATACTAAAGTTTTCGTTTTGGAAACATTTAGATGTAAGCCGAACATTTCGCTGTGGTGAACTACCGCATTTATTATATTTTGTAGTTCTTGTGCGTTGCTTGCTATTAAAACAGTATCATCAGCATATCTGATGTTGTTTATGCTGATTCCGTTAATCTTAACTCCGCCTTGGACCTGATCTAATGCTTCTCTGAATATGGACTCCGAATATAAATTAAACAGAAGGGGTGATAAGACGCAACCCTGTCTCACTCCTCGTCGGA